AAGGGATAAGCTAGCACACCCAGTTGGCTAGCTTCTGACACAAAATTATCAGCAAAGCACCATAGGCGTTCTACTAACAAAGATTGAAAGGTAACAGTGTATCACATTATAAACATTTGCTAATGACCGGAGCTTAGTTAAATAAATCCTCTATTTAAAAACTTGCTTAGTAGTTTGATAGCCAACTAATGCACACATATATTCTATCAATAATGCTCGGTGCAATGTAACGAGCCGCAGACAAACTTTCTCTATATCTTTAAAGATACTCTTATGCACGTTCATCCTTCTATTGCACTAATTAATAATTAATTTCCTCAGCATATTGGGCTATGTTCCCCATACTAATCTAAAGACTAATTAAGCTACCCTTCACTCCCAACTTGTGGGCTCTCTCTCTCTCTCCCTCGCTAATTTCAGACTAATTATGAGAAGCTTCATCAAGGAACACGTATGATTAGAATCATTTCTTCATATAAAAACAACTTACGAGCAAGTTAAGCTGAGGTTAGTTAGTGTTTATTTTATGTAAACTAGATTAGGAGCATTGGACGTAGATGGTTTTAGGATTGGTTGACTGTGAAAAAGAGCAATAGAAAATTCCATCTTCCTTCCTGGACTGATCATTGAAGTTTCCTTTGTAGTTCAACTGCCTTTCTGTTACCTACTTGTATAATGGCATTGAGTGTGAACTGATATCTACTGGTTGATTTGATGTTTTCCTTATTGCATGGCTATTAATTTGTATATTAAAATAGCTCTTAATTAGTTTAAATTATTTGATTAAGGACATAATTATTCTTTATGGTTAAAAAAACTTTGATCCGTACTGCCGACAGATAATGGGGAGAGTTAGCACAAAGGGTGTGTGTAGATATACTATACAAGTATATGAGTTCTTAATCTAGCTAACATATTTTTTGGTTTTTTAGAGTCCTATAAAATTTTATTGGAGATAAATAGAAAATTAGCAACTCACATAATATTGCTAGTAGAACATCCTTATCTTATACTATTTATTCATATATATTATTGATATTTACATAGAATATTACTTTTTTAATTCTTAATATTATTGTTATGTGCTAGCTAGAACATTCACAATGATAGGGAGAGATCGAGAGCACTTATCGATCTGGGTAGCGTTGAAAAAAAAAGGAAGCATTTATAGGTAAAATGCTTTATGAGCATATCAAGAAGACAATGTTGTAGTAGACACGTATGAACTAAAGAAGATGATTTCCATGGTGGAAGTAGGAGTGCTAGCCTTTCGTCGAGAAATCCATTATTTGCTTGATTTTTCTCCTTAAAGGAGGTGAGACCAGTGACCAAGATAGTGGCATTAGCCTTGGCGGAGATGATGATTGTCAATCTTGTTGGTGATGACGGACGTTGATCTTGACTGATAGGGTTGTGAAACTTTTTTAATCTAATAAATGTCTCCTCTCAGATCTTCTTAATTATTGACATAATAGTTTCAATTAAATATCTTAGTTCCTTATTTATTTTTGGATAAAACCCACCAGAGGGGCCTGTGCGTTAGAATCCAATAACATTACAAGTCTTTAAAGAATAAAAAGCTCTAAAAAAATGCAACCTTTGAAGAAAAACCTATGAGTCATTGGTTCTAAATATTACAATACAAAATCAAAAGAAGAAAAACCTAAAACAATAACAAAAATCAGTACAAACAGGCAAAGCCGAGTGGGACAAATAGCAAGAAATAAAACTCAAGGAAGCATAATAGTAGTCAATCCACACGAGAAGAATCCACAGGAGCCACGAACAAGTACTTGCAAGAAAAAAGGCTAGCAACCCAACACAAAGCAAAAGCCCACAACACGAAAAGCAACACCCCAACACAAAACACAACCCCAGAAGCAACCAAACCTCATCGAAACCAAAAGACCAACCAACAAGAAATGAAAACTGGCCAAAAACACCAAAACCCCTAAACAGACGATGGCAAGCAAAGCCTAAACAAGCAGGAGGGACAACGACCAACCAAACCCAACTCCAGCAACAAAAAAACAACACCAATATAGTCAAAACAGAGAGTAAAAGGAGCCCAAAAAACATAACATGAAGAAAAGGACCAAAAGAAGATAATTCTTTTTAGATTTTCCCCTTCTCCGTTTAGCAACATTCTTAAAAAAACCTTCATCAGCAATATGAATAATATTTAAGTCATATTTTTCCAGATAGTCATCCCCTTGCCCATCAATTTCCTCACCTTCCAAATAAGCAGAGGAATCACAATCAGCTAAACAGCCCCGATGAGGCACAACATTTTCCACGGAGTTAATAGCCAATTGTACTATTAAAGTATCATTAGAAATAAGTGAAATATGAATATCTATAAGAGGCACATCCTCATTCAAATCCACTAAACTTAAAGGCGACGAAATAGTCACATTATCATTACCAGAAGAGTGATCAGCCATATTCACCTTATTGAATTCACAATCCATAGGAGTTTGCTCATCAGTAATAGGAGCCAAAGAAGCCAAACCATTACTATCATCCACATTGTTAACTACACCATCAACCACGCCATTGTTCATGATAGGATCCAAAATAGTAACATCAATATGAGAAGGACAAATAGTCTTAGAATTATTATGGCTTTCAACAACATCCTCAAAAGTTAAGTCTAAAGTAACCATAATCGAAGAGAAACCATTTTTAATAGTCATAGAAGACCCAAACTCCCCTATAAGGCTACTAACCTAACCCATCCCAGGATCCAACATGATCACCATGGCAACCCCATCACCATTATTACACAAGGACTTCATTGCCGCCAAATTCACATAATCCACAACGTTAATAGTTTCAGTGGAATTATTCCCATTAACCACCAACTTATTAACTGGCAAAGCAGGAATCAAGGTAGTGGTAACTAAATTATCGATAGTTTCCATAATACTAGTTGCATTATCTTCAGACAAAACATGATTAGTAGTAATAGCAGGAGCATTCACCTGGACATACGACCTAGGGCGATAATCCCCCCTCACATGCCCAATACGTTTACAATGAACACAAAAAGGAGGTAAATATTCCATCTCGACAAGCTGAATGTGCCCAAACTTTTCAAGACCAAGTCACACTTTATCAGGATATTTTTTTGTAATGTCAATCTCAACCAAAACTCTTACAACATAGGGTCATGATCCAATAGAGGATGCATTGTCGACCTTTAACGGACGACCAAATAGTGATCCCAGAGCATAAAGAATACGAGGAGAAAAGAGATTTGACATTAAGTTCAAAAATGAAATCCAAATGGGAATAACATGAAACTCATCACCAATATCAAGAGAAGGAGATCATTTTATTAATTTCATATAACAATTGTAAACAACGTAAGATCTGTGACAAAATACTCTGCTATAATCCATATCATTAACCAACTTAATCAGAACATTCGAAGAATTCAGCAAGGTCGCCGAAAATTCACCATTGAGCTTAAGGTTGAAGAAGAACTTACAAATATACTCTAGGCTAGGATGACGGGAAGGAAAAAAAACCGACAAAAGCAAATTGGAGAGGTGCGGCAAGTGCAAGGATCTCTTCTTCTGAGAACCACAAAGAGGGCAAATCTTAAAATTTTAAAAATGTGATGTATATATAGGAACAAATAAATTTAAAACTAGTTTATTAGCTAGGAATATATATATATATATATATATATTCCTAGCTAATAAACTAGTTTTAAATTTACTTGATTCTATTTGACAGTTATAAATTAAAAACTAAAATTGCAATATTCTCTTCAATGTTAAATTTAAGAGAAAATCATATCACTGATTTAATTTACCACTAAATATTTTTATTTTTCATCTCTTTATTTACTTATATTATTTGCATTTCTATAAATCATATTACTCTAGATTGATCTTATATCTTCCCCCATTTTTCTTTCCTAAAAATTCACATGACATCTTAGCAACTTGAGAGCAAATTAAATAACAAGCTATAACTTTTAGTCAATCACTTAATCTATCTTGTTCATGTTCTTCACAACTAAGAGTAAGAAGTGTACTTGTTCTATATATATAGGCTATAGCTCGGAAACTCTGCAATATTTTCCTCAAAGCTACTCATCATCTCATGATTATTATTTAACATTTTCGAGGTCTCAAAATTATGGTGATGTGTTAGATCTATGAAACAGCCCAACTGGCAAACTAAGGCAGAATATCAACAACTGATGCTGATGTTAAGGCATTAATATATAAAGAATTAGCCAGCAGGAGATTCCTTGTCACAAATCTTAAATTCTTATTTCCATTTCCCTATTTAGTTGACAGTTCATGCATGAACGGAAATCTAGGTCTTGGATCCCTAACTACATGATATATTCTCCATCAGATTCACATTTCAGCATATAAGTAGAGATCTATACGTACTGATCAGTCACAAAAGAGTCTCAAAGGGCTCCACATACGCTGTACAGTACTAAAGAAGCATGTAAAATATATGTATTACATGCATGTGTGTCTTAGTTGTCAAGAAATATCACGATGAACTCATCTGATCAGCAAGAGATGATATGAAATAGAATAACTTTAATTCAATCATCTTGAGATAAAAAAAGAAAGAAGATTAGTGCATAAAATATATTAAATATTTTTCAGAGGTTCAGTACTCAATGAAAACTTTATGTTCCTCTCTCATTTTGTAGCTAGATAAGTTTAAAGAGATCACTACTGCTATTACTCTTTCTAGATAAGTTCAGTGGGTCTTGACAGAAGCTAACTTAGTATAATTAAAACAAGTTAGCATTTACAATTTAGACTTCATTTGAGATAACTTTCTTTTTGTTTTCTAAATCGGGTTTTTAGTATAAATTTTTTAATTTTTGTACTAAAAAGCCGCTTTAAGAAGTAAGGAGAAAGCTGTCCAAATGAAGACTTAGTTATAAGATCTGATAATAAGGCTTCGTTGGAGTATTCTGACATCTGTTTATATCATATTAATAGACTTTATGTTAAATGAGCAAAAGAAGTTACCGTGAATTGCCCTCAGTACTTAATCTCTTCTGAATCCCTACTGAAGGGGAGAGAAAATATGACTAGGTTTTGCCTTCTATGTTTTTTTTTTCTTTTCTTGAGTTCTCATTTTGTAATTATCATTTTAATTAATGATAACTATTTTGTTTAAGAAAACAACGTACCCTTTTTAATAAAAAAATGGTAAGGGCATGCAACAGAAAATAAAGCAAAAATATTTTATTGAAATAACCATAAATATTAGATATACGGCTAATTATCTTTCTTAATAGGATAAAAATTAGGTTCCACACAAAAGAAGTTACCGTGAATTGCCCTCAGTACTTAATCTCTTCTGAATCCCTACTGAAGGGGAGAGAAAATATGACTAGGTTTTGCCTTCTATGTTTTCTTTTTCTTTTCTTGAGTTCTCATTTTGTAATTATCATTTTAATTAATGATAACTATTTTGTTTAAGAAAACAACGTACCCTTTTTAATAAAAAAATTATAAGGGCGCAATAGAAATAAAGCAAAAATATTTTATTGAAATAACCCATAAATATTAGCTAATTATCTTTCTTAATAGGATAAGAATTAAATTGCTTAATTTCATATAAAGAAGGTAAAAATGTTAAGAGAACTTAAAATTATATAAAAAAAACCTTTCCACAACCGTTTTTTAGGACTTTATAGACCATTGTAACAAATTGCAGGGCAGTTTAAAGATCACCACAAATTCATTCTGAATGATCTCAAACAGCACATTGGAACTATATATGTATAGCTAGTAAGCTAGCTACTCAGTCATGTTTAATTACTGCATTCATGAATCCGATGACTAACCTCTGATACAAGAACAACATCAAGCTTTTATCCCACTACAGGGTCGGCTACATGAATCTTTTTTTTTCATTGTATCTTTTTAAGAGTCAAATTCTCATTTGAATCTAATAAATAAAGGTCATTTCTAATATTTTCCAACTAAGTCTTTTTAAGTCTACCTCTACCTTTCTGGGTCAAATCTAATACATCTATTATCTTAATAGGGTCATCGGAAGGCTGTCGTTTTACATGACTAAACAATCTAAGATAGCTCTCTCTAATCTTATCTGTCACTGGAGCTACTTCGAGCTTTTCACTGATATGCTCGTTTCGAATCTTGTCTCTACCGAGATATCAAATACTGAGTTCATCACTTCTTCCCCCGGAAGAACATAAAATATGATGATGAATCAAAATATCTGTTAGATGGGTTTCAAAATAACTGTTATAGCTTTTGGTAAAAAACTTAAATGATTCAACGGTTTTACCAACAAAAATACACACAAAAAAATGCAGAAGTCAAACATTTGTCAGATCTAATTAGGCCCACTCCTTACTCTAATAAGAAAATGTAGACAATGACATTTGGCATTGCATTTGCAGTAACTTTTCTTTCTGTGGAGTTTAGGGTTACACATTTTAGACTGAAGTCATTTAGATTTTATTTGTGACAGTTTTTTTTTTTATTTTTTAAAGTAAATTTTTAATATCAAAATTAAAAAAAAAATTTAAGAAGCAATAAAAAAGCAATCCCAAACGAAACCTTAATCATGACAATATTTGTTCATCTTTGATATGAGTTTAAGATGAATTTTCACATTTATATTCATATTTGATTGATTTAGATTCTTTATGATCGAATTTGATATGTGCTTAACTGATCTAAATGAACTGAAATAGCATTTAAATGAGCCAATAAATAAGCTAAAAATTAAAGTTACAATCTGTAAAACAAAGCAGTAAGAAAACTGTCCCAAATGAAACATAAGTCGTATAATTTCAAGTTAGGCATGGACCTCAAAATTGATTTCAAACAATACTAATTTTAGTCAAATTACAGATGATTTTCAAGTACTTGATTATATTCTATTATAATTATAATTAGAATATCATTTTTACAAAAATATTTAACATCTTGTAAAATCATCAATCTCCATTAATTATAATTTACCATAAATTTGACATTACTTTTTTTATTAAATAGAAATAGTCATATAAATATATGTTGAAAATATTAATTTTTAAGGCTAGCATTGTAAATAATTACATAAATTGAGTCATTATATACCCCATGCACCTATTAATGTTGGATACTTTATAAGATTGCAACTCATTAATTTTTTTGTACACAAAAATAGTATTTATTCTCTATATTTATTATTATTATATTAGAAAAAAATATCAATTAATATTGAACAAAACACAGACTCTTAACAAAAATTTATATCAAAAGTATAAGATATTAACAGAAAAAAATAGTGCATTAAGTAATTTTTTTAACTAAACAAATCATCTTAGAACTTATATAAAAATACTTAGACTTTATTTGGGACTATTTTTTAGTGTTTCTTAAAATAATTTTTTAATTTGAAAAATAAAATTTTTATATTAGAAAGCAGCTTTAATTAAAAGCAGTAAGAAAGCCGTCACAAATTTCGTTTAGAACGGCTTTCCCAAATGAAATTTGGGACTCTTTTTTACTTCTTTTTTAAGCAGCTTTCTAGCATAAAAATTTTAACTTTTGGACTAGAAAATTATTTTAAGAAACAATAAGAAAACGGTCCCGAATGAGTCCTTAATCTTAATAATTTTTATAAAATTTCACAATTTTTAATTCTAATATTCTGCAATCATACAAAAACCTATCGGGACTATTTTATTTTTTATTTTTTATTTTTTCTGCCCATAAAAAACCCTAAAAAATAGAGCCTAATAATTCGTCTAAGTGATTGGGAGACTATATAAAGCGTCCCTACGTAGAGTGAAATGAACCACAATCTCATAAAGAGCTAAAGAAAGAGAGTACTGATCAATGGAAGGACTACGATCAAGCCGGAAACTCTACGGCGAGTGCATGCGAAACCACGCCGCCGCCCTCGGAGCCTACGCTTCCGACGGCTGCGGTGAGTTCGCCGCCGACGACATCTCTCTCCCTGCCACCTACTTTTGCTCCGCCTGCGGCTGCCACCGCAATTTCCACCGCAAGCTCTTCGACACCTCTGGGTACTCCTCCCACTTCCCACCGGAAACCGCTGCTGTGGCGGTATCCGATAACCGCTCCGACGGCCGGCGAAGATCGAGGACTAAGTTCACTGCCGAACAGAAGGCTCAAATGAAGAGCTTTGCTGAACGGCTCGGGTGGCGAATGCCGAAGCGGCCTGAGGCGGAGGAAGAATTAGAGGTTGAAAGATTCTGTAATGAGATTGGGGTTAGCCGCCATGTGTTTAGAGTATGGATGCATAATCACAAGGGCGGTGGTGGTGGCTGCGGCGCAGGAGGGGTGGCGGCGCCGGCAAACTCTTCCTCGGCGACAAATAATTCTGACGGGGTTGTGGTTGGCGGCGGCGGCGGCGCTGGAGAAAGCGAGGAGCGGGATGGAGATAGAAAGAGTACTACAGCTGTTTGAGTGGCGAGTGTCGTGGCTGTGCTGAGTGCTTAATTTCTTCCTAATATTTTATATTTCCATTTTTAATATCTACACCTTTATTATTCCTTTCTAACTTTGTGAACTTTGGTAGTAATATTTTTCTTGAAATAATTTAGTAATGATTTGTATCTTATTATTATTATTATTGTTATTATCTATATTTTATTCAAATATTCTTGGAAGTTATTGTTTTATTTTTAATATCATTTAGAAATATCCCCAAATATTTAGTATATAATGCAAATATAAAAATTATAAGCATAAAAAATAAATATTTTAAGTTTTGATATAATTATCTTCAAAATTTAATAATTTTTCTTCAAATTGCTGCAAGAGATAATATATGGTAAGTGAGATTAAAGACATTTGTAATATAAAGTCATATCTTGATATAAAATATATCAATAAATAAATATAAATTTGTTCTATCTTTAATATATTTGTTTATATGATATGCAATTTACTGGTCTTAGAAGAAGTTAAGATGATTTTTTTTTCCATTTTTAATTTGAAATCCTTTTTGCAACACTAAATCTATATAATTATAGAAACCCTAAAATTCATCACATAATTTGTAAATTTTGTTCCAACATCGTCTTTACGTGAATATAAAATACAATTAGAAAAAAATCTTACAAATATTTGATGAAATTCTTTTTGGACAAATTCGATCACAAAAATTTAGCACAACCCACTCTAGAACCATTATAACTCCATTTTTCTCTAAAATCTTAACTCCTCCAAACAAATCAACTCATTTACAAAAAATAGCAAAGAATAAATAACAAATTTTTTTTTTTTTTACTTACCAAATTGTCGGTCAAGCGAAATCAGGAGGTAGGGCATAGAGCAGACAGGCAGACAGCATGACACGAATGACGGGAAGAAGCCGGAAGGGTGGGGACCCTTTTTACGGAGGTTGTAAGTCGCCTATTAAACATGCAACTTACTCATGCCATGTCATCAGACTACGTCATGAAGTGTTGACTACGTTGTTCATGTCAAAATCGCTCGTTAAACAGGCCGCTTTGTCTACTTTTAAAATTTATTAATTACATGCTTAAACACTAATTAAAATCTTTAATTATGCCGAGTCTAAGTTTTTTTCCTAGTTTGCATGCCTTATAGGTATTTAAAATCCTCATATTATTAGTGTATTACTTATTTATGAAATAAGCTTTTATGATCTTTTTGTCATTATTATTTTGTTAATGATAATTAATTTCTTTAAAAAAATAAATAAACACTAAGATTTAACCTAAACTAATACATAATTTATATGATAATATTTCACATCAATCTCTAATAATAATATCATAATTTGATAACAAAAATCAATAGCAATTTCCAATGAACCGAAACTTGCATGAAAGTGTTTTAAGAAATCCCTAAATAAATGTAAATTAAAATTAGCTGTCAATCATTACAAATGATTGTCTTTATTTATAATTTTTTTGAAATATTTTTCTTTTTAACAAAAATACTACAGAGAGATATACAAATGTCTCTCTTGTAATATTTATGTTTTACTTTATAGAAAATAATGATGATCTTTTCTTAACTAAAGTGATCATATTTTGGGACTAAGACTTAGTTTAGGATTACTTTCTTACTATTTTAGTAAACAAATTAAAAATTTCTATAATATTTCAATTGTGAGAGCGTTTATTTATAAAAATGTCATATTATATATTATTTTATAGGATTATTTTCAAATCTAAGAACAGCAAGAGTCACCTCCAGCTCATTCCACCATTATTTAATAGCCTATGATACTCTTATCATTGAAACATTAACATATTTTGATGGATTGCAAGCTAATCACTTAACAGATCTTGAAGAATGCCTAATCATATTGAAAGGATGAATTTGAAAGAAATAAAGTTTTTTAGGGTTTAAATGAATCAGATCGATCGAGCAGACCACTATTTCATTTAAACTTTTATATATATGACTCAATTTTTATGATGAAAATTCTCATCGAGTTTAAGCCATAATCAAATTTCAAGCGAGCCTAAAATATGTTTATATCGAATGATTTGAATGTTGAGTCTGATTTCTCTATTGGGAAACCAACCGTACTCTCAAGTTTGCCAATGCAAAAGAAATGAGAGAGAGAGAGAGAGCGAGAGAAACTCTATGAGTTTGCCCAGCTTTCTTGAGATTTTTTTTTGTTAAAGCAAAAGAAAATTTTCATTAATAAAAAAACGAAAGCCCACCCAAATGAAGACTAGTCGTAGCAGTTTCTCATTTAGGAATTTTTATTGCGTCCTCCCACCTGACGTAGAGATACATCCTCCCATCACTAAAAAACTGAGTTTTTGCTCGGTATTGCTAGCTATTATTTGGTATTAAAGAAGAATATCATCATGTGAAGACCAATACCTAGTTATACCGAGCAATACCGAGCTATACCAAGCAATACAAAAAAATACCTAGTTTTTCTTAGAAAAAACTCGGTATTGCTCGGTATAGCTCGGTATTGCTCGGTATAGCTCGGTATAACTCGGTATTGGTCTTCACATGATGATATTCTTCTTTAATACCAAATAATAGTTAGCAATACCAAGCAAAAACTGAGTTTTTTAGCGGTGGGAGGACGTATCTCTACGTCAGGTGGGAGGACGCAATAAAAATTCCTCATTTAGATGAGTCACAATGCTCTTAAAATCTGACTAAAGCTCATGTGTAGTCTATGGGGTTTTAACTTCTAACCTAACTCAAAAATTTGATACGAAAAATCCAATTTCGAGTCGACCTATTTAACAAATGGGATAGGTTTGGGTTCTAATTTACAACCGGTTTGAAAAATCAGATCGGGTCCAGGTTAATCCGCTAACCCGTGAATGACCCTGGTACTAAGCCTACACCTCTCAACCGCACCCATGCAGCTTTCACACTAGTGCATCGCTTCCTCACGAGCATACCAACTAGCGCACTTTTTTGCTCACTATAGAAAAAACGGGCATTACCGGCGGACCAAATCCGTCGAAAAATGCCTAAAATCCGTCGGAAATATTTCGGGGGGAAAAATGTCAGAAATTTTTCCGGCGAATATACTCCGCTGGAAAAATAAGAAAATCAAAAAAAAATTTTTTTGAGCCCCACTACTACCCCAGCCCACAGCCCTCACCCAACCTCCCTCCCCCAGCAGGCCCACCTTTTGACCCACGCGACCCACCCACTTCGCCTAGCTCAAGCCCGCATGACCCGGCACCGACACGCACTTGACCCGCCCACACGCCTGTGCAACGCGGGATTCGAACCCCGCCCCCCTCGAATTTTTTGTTTGCCAGAAAATTCGACGGAAATAAGTGTTTTTCTGTATTGGCTCCGGTGCTCTCGCATGCTACCTAGCGCACTGCACCACATTCGTACTGCTTCCGCCCGCTACCTAGCGCACTGCTCCACTTCCACAATTCTCACTAGTGCATTGCTTCTGCACTACTTCCAGGGTCTAGACCACGAGATCACTTTTAAGGTGACCGCACCATAGGTTCACAATTCGTATAGCATCTAGCATGACTGAACCGCACCGTCACTACAGGAAAAACACTGATTTCCGGCAGAATTTCTGGCGAAATTAAATCTGTCAGAAATACCGATCGATTTTTCGATGAATTTCCAGCGAATTTTCCGGCGAATTTCCGACGGTTTTTTTGGAGGTATTTCCGACAGATTTTTTGCAGGCTTTTCTGACGGAATTT